CCCCAAAACCCCAAAACCCCAAAACCCCAAAAAATACTTCTTGTATTGAGAAATATACTATTAGAAATATTAATAAAATGGATACTAGTTCTAAAAGTGACGATAAAATTGAAGCTGATTCCTTCTCAGTTCCTCAAAAGGAGCAGAACCAAGAGGGATTCAACTCCTCGAAGCTGAATTATGACGGAGAACCTCCTAATACAACCTTGAAGGAGGTATCATGTTTTCAAGACTCTTCAAAGATAGGTCTTGAAGATAGCAGAGAGCTTAGTAATATTAACAAGATGTATGATGTCCTACAGAGTGAAAAATAATACAATTTTTAACCTAGAAGAAGAAATGGGAGAGCATTTTCACATTGGCCGTCATCAAACTGAGTCTACTTTGTTTGGAATCGAGGAAGAAGTAAAGCTTGGGAAAAATGAAAAGGTCAGAATTGTCAAGTCGATTGTCTCCAACCAAGGGGGAAGCAAGCATACTGATTATAAGATCCTTGGGATTCATGGAGACCAAGAATTTACTATCTGTAGAAGATATAAAGAGTTTAGTTTACTTCATAAAAGACTAGAGGAAAGATGGCCAGGGTTCTACATACCCCCAATTCCCAAGAAGAATGCGTTCAAATAAAATGGACTCTAAAGTAGTTTCTGAGAGAGTGTATTTATTAAATGTGTTTCTGAACGAATTAGCTGATAGGCAGTATCTTTGGAATTCACAAGAAGTATCACTCTTTATAAAGCCTTTGGGTAGTGTGATATCCGATTTGAAAAATCTGCCAAAACCTACAATTGAGATGCTTTTAGAAAGAATTACTGTGGATGCTCAGATAAATTTAGAAATTAACCCCCTAGAGGTTGAACATTACTCTAGATCTATCAAATCATTTAAGAATGATCTTTCAGAAAATTTGGTGTTCCTGAACACTCTTAAAGTGTTTGTCCTAAAGCAGTGAGAGAGAAGAAATACTTACCTCCGTTGAAACGGTTATTTCATGGACCAACTCTACACCTACGAAAACAGTACATTAGATGTATATTCACGGAAATCTGTGAATGATTCCCTCACTACCTCATTGAAGATAGTGTCTGATATTGAGAATGAAAAGATCGGTAATGACTTCTGTTTAATCCCTCTTACTGTAAATAACCCATTCGAGAAAATGAGGTATTGGATCAAACAAGAAATCCATGATTTTGAAGCAATGATTAAGTCAATAGAAGGTAGTTTCCCCTTATAATTCTATAGGAATTGATAAGCTACTTAAAGATAAAGAGAAGCTCATCGCAAAGATCTGTTCAGCCCAAAAAGAGATGCAAAATCTTGAGGAAGGCAAGAAATCCTTTAAGACTCTATTCCAGTCTCAGACAGGGAGGCATAACAAGATAAGCGAGCTCAATACCTACATCTCCAGGAGTGAGGTGATCGTGGAGACTTATGACAAAGTCCTCAACCTTCTAACAGTGTACATGTGGATGAAGGAGATCAGTCAGTTCAAGCTCTGGAAAGCTAGCAATTACTACAAGTGATTGTCTACTTTCTGAACAGAAGTAAGGATATTCTGATAGTATGTATTCAACAATTTAGGAACTTGAAGGGAATAACCATATCATGAACCTTTGGGAAAATCTCAAGTACATCATGGAGAGGTATCTTTTCAACAAATAACTATTTAGAAAAGAGAAGATTTGGCAAGATGATAAAACTAAAGAACAATATGAGAGAGAAGTTAAACTCAAACTTGATCATCGCAATGAACTTGGAGAACATGAGCATGAAAAGGAAGAAATAGATCATAGTTTGAATAATGCTAATGATGTCGATCAAAATCTTAAGAATCAAGAAAATCAACTATATGCTTATGATCCACAAGGGAAGGATAGTTTCTTGCATAAAGATTATGATCCGGATGCAGGAGAAGCTCAAGTATGTTTTAAATTTCTTAACTCTGTCTTATCTTATTCTAGGATTATCATAAAGATGAAAATAATTATGATGTATCTATAAGACATAATAGAGATCCTAAGGTGTTGGCTAAGAGTAGTGTTACTTTCCCAGCCAAGGATGACTCCATCAATGATTCAGATGACTTAGAATACCAAGTGAAACAGCAAAACTCTTTAGGAGACGGTATTGAAGCTTTTACATATGCTTAATTTATTGTATATTTTCAATATTTTCAGAACTGGTAGGGGTTTTGGGGTTTTGGGGTTTTGGGG